ACCAGTGGTCTCTAAACTGGTACAAACCCCCCATGTTCCTGTTACTGGGAGCCGGCATGTTCCCTTCTGCCTTGGCTGATTCCTAATGCATCCACATGCTCTTCTGGAGGTTCTCGGGCCCCTCACAAGCTGAAAAACCTTCCAAGAACCCTGATGCCCTCAAATGCCTTTCTCAGCCCTCTCATGAACCCCAGCATGTCCCTTCCGCTGCCAAGGCCTCGTTTCAAGTCCCTTCGACTGCCCCCCGAACACCCATTTCCAGGTTGTCCCACTGATGAGTGAGTTGTTGAATGAGTTAATCCCACATGTGATCTGAGTGTAGCACATGGGCCACTAGCTGCTACCACATGTGCCTCTGTGATGAGGTCATCCTCAAACCTTCCCAGGTGTTAAAACAACACCATTTCATCAGGGAGCCCCTGCTGTGCTCAGATTTGGCTATGAAGAATTGTGGTTTGCTAAACTCTGAGAAAGCCCTGGCAGCCAGATTGCTGGGAAGGCTCTGCTTCTGTTCATCATCAGGCATGGTGCGAGTTAGCTGTGAGCCATCACAGAGCCATCATCAAGCTGATCCCATTTTTAAAGCTGTTTTGCCTTGGCTGTCACAATGGGCCTAAAATGGAAGGCTCCTGCTGAAAGAGCCTGGCTGTGTCACTTCTAGCCCTCTTTCTGCCTGGCAGGGAAGGAACAATGCTTTTCTTAGCAGCACTTCGGCAGGTTCATTTTCTATGGAGTAAAGCTGTTTTTATGCCGCTTTTACACTGTCACATGTAAGGCTGCAGCATTCTACGTGTCATGAGGATCCGTGTAGGAGGAAACAGATAACATGTTATGAAGCAGCGGGATAGCTGCACACTGAAAATGTAACAGTTTCTTTGCTGAAACCACTGTGAAATCTCCAGGGGATAAGAGGGAAGGTCCTCTCATGGATCAGTAACTGGTTAAAGATAGGAAACAAAGGGTAGGAATAAACGGTCAGTTTTCATAATAGAGAAATGTAACTAGCGGGGTTCCCCAAAGATCTATACTGGGACCTTTGCTGTTCAACTTATTTATAGATGCTCTGGAAAATTGGGTGAACAGAGAGGCAAAATTCGTAGATGATACAAAATTAGTCAAGATAGTTAAGTCCAAAGCAGACTGTGAAGAGCTACAAAGGGATCTCAGAAAACTGGGTGACTGAGCAACGAAATGGCAGCTGAAATTCAGTGTTGGGAAATGCAAAGTAATGCACATTGGAAAACATAATCCCAACTATACATAGAAAATAATGGGGTCTAAATTAGCTGTTCCCACTCAAGAAAGAGACCTCGGAGTCCTTGTGGATAGTTCTCTGAAAACGTCCACTCAAAGTGCAGCAGCAGTCAAAAAAGCGAACAGAATGTTAGGAACCACTAGGAAAGGGATAGATGAGAAGACAGAAAATATCATAATTCTTCTATATAAATCCATGCTATGCCCACACCTTGAATACTGTGTGCAGTTCTGGTCACCCCATCTCAAAAAAGATATATTGGAATTGGAAAAGACAGAAGGAAAGGCAACAAAAATGATTAGCATTGTCCATATGAGGAGAGATTAAAGAGACTGGAACTGCTCAGTTTGGAAAAGAGGCAACTAAGATTGAATGTGATAGAGGTCTATAAAATCGTAACAGGTGTGGAGAAAGTGAAGAAGGCAGTGTTATTTACTCCTTCACATAACACAAGAACCAGGCATCACCCAATGAAATGAATAGGCAGCAGGTTTAAAACAAACAAAAGGAAGTATTTCTTCACACAATACATAGTCAATTTGTGGAACTCCTTGCAAGGGGATGGTTCAAAAGGTTCAAAAAAGAACTAGATAAGTTCACAGAGGTTAGCCAAGCTATTAGCCGAGATGGTAAGGGATGCAACCCCATGCTCTGGGTGTCCCTAGCCTCTGATTGCGAGAAGCTCAGAGTGGATGACAGGGGATGGATCACTCAATGTTTGCCCTGTTCTGTTCAGTCCCTCTGAAGCACTTGGCATTAGCCACTATTGGAATACAAGCTATTGAGCTAGATGGCCCATTGATCTGACCTGCTATGACCATTCTTATGTTTATTCTGAAGAGTGCATTCAGTTCTCCTGCATTATTAGTGTTGTGATCATGCCCAGAGGCCACCCATCTAAGACACAAAGAGGACTCTCACCGTTAAAAATTTGCACCTTATTTCTAGTCTGAATTTGTCTAGCTTCAACTTCCAGCCACTGTTAGACCTTCCTCGGCTGGATTGAAGAGCCCATTATTAAATATTTGTTCCCAGTGTAGATACTTAGAGCCTTATCAAGTCATCCCTTAACCTTCTCTTTGTTAAGCTAAATAGATTGAGCTCCTTAAGTCTGTCACTATAAAGCAGGTTTTCTAATCTTTTACTCATTCTCATGACTCTTCTCCAAACACTCTCCAATTTTTCAACCTGTATCTGAAATTGTGGGGCCCAGAACTGGACACAGGATTCCAGCAGCGGTCGGTCGCACCAGTGCCAAATCCAGAGGTAAAATAACCCCTCTGCTCCTACTCGAGATTCCCCTGTTTATGCATCCCAGGATCTCATTCGCTCTTTTGGCTACAGCATCACACTGAACACTCATGTTCAGCTGATTATCCAACACCTCCTCTCCTCCCCCCAAAAAAATCTTTTTCAGAATCCCTGCTTCCCAGGATAGCACTTCCCCATGCTGTAGGAACATTCTTTGTTCCTAGACAATACCTTTACATTTAGCCATATTACAACACACTGTTTGCTTTCACCCAGTTTACCAAGCAATCCAGATTGCTCTGTATCAGTAACCTGTCCTCTTCATTCTTTATCTCCCCTCCCTTGCAAAATTTTGTGTCATCTGCAAATTTTATTAGTGAGGATTTTATGTTTTCTTCCCGTTCATTGATAAAAATGTTAAATAGCGCAAGGCCAAGACCCGAGCCCCCCACTGGAAACAAACCCATTCAATGATTATTCCCCCGTTACAATTACATTTTGAGACCTGTCTGTTATGTATAGCTGCAGTGAATGGGGAAGAAGTACATTGGAGCCGCTTGGGAGAGTTGTGATTGTGATGTGAGGAGAGTGTCTCCTAACCACTCCCCTCCCCATGTGTGTGATGAAAGGAAAGGGGCCCATGGACTGCGAGGGACCAGTCTGCAGCATGTCTGTACAGGACTGTGCAGGTTGTGTCAGGAGCAGGCTACTGGGGTGGGATACGAGACCAGGCTGGATTGAATGATGGGATGGGGAAAGTCCAGGTTTAGGGGTAGCCTGTGTGCAGGCGTGAAGGGCTGTAGAAGGGTACAAAGTGGTTGTTACATTTGACAGGTGTGGTGGTCTGTGTGGGGAGCAGTGTTTGAGCACAGGGTAGGTACAGGTAGTGCCTGGCCATTACTGTGACAAGGCAGAGTGGGAGTGAGTGTGTCATGGTCGTGTTGGGGCACCACTCAAAGAGGGCAGAGTTAAGGCTGTGTGGGCGTGTACCTTATCTCTGTATTTCCTGGTTTTCAGAGGTTTGAGTTTTGCTGAGCCCAGTGCAAGGTATCACCCGGCAGCCTGAACTCTGCATTAGCGAAGGGTTTTTGCCATTTAGTTTCCTAGTTGTTTAAGCAGAGACATGTTTGTTGGTAGGAGCTACTGGTCATTTAAGCCGTTGTATTCTCACCTCGTTGTGCAGTTGATATGCTACTGTCCCAAGGTAATAATCAAAAGCCCTAGCTCTGATATAGTGCTTTTCATCAGTAGATCTCAGAGAACTTTACAGCATTATCCCCATTTTACTGAAGGGAAACTGAGGCACAGAGTGGCAACTTGCCCAAGGTCACCCAGCCAGTGGCAGAGCTAGCAATAGTTCCAGTCCAGTGGTCCCTCCACCTGAATACACGGTTGCCTGTTATTTTTCAGTGCTCCCTCCCCTCCTGTATGGTTTGTTATACTGGAATGGTCTGGCTTTGAAAGGTTTGCAATGTGTAGCTGCTAACAGAGCCCTAGAGAAATCCCATCTGTGCTCTATGTCCCAAACCTTGACAGCTTTATGGTAGGCTTGTTACAGTGACTGACCAATCAGCAGGTGAGAACAGGCTGGTGTGTCTCCTTCTCCACCCACTGCTCACCCCTCTCCTCCCCTCCCCTCCAACACTTCGTCCTCCTCCTCCCCCTCCCCTTCCCGTCCCACTAAGCCATGAGCTGGTCCTGCAGAAACCAGTGACATGTCTGAAGTTGCTCTTTGCTGTCTCCTGTTCTGTGCTGCTGTGCACACATATCTGTCACAGACTATTACTGGAGGGCCTCACGCTACCTGGTTATGTAGCCTAAGCTGCCCCCCCTCCCCTCGCCCACACACACACACACCCAGAGCTGGGACTTCTGCCCCTGCTTCAGCCAGGCTTCCCCAGCCATGTCCCTACCCCACCCCCAATCCCCTTCACCCCACACAGGGGGATGTGTATCTTAACGATTCATGCGGAGGGGTAGGGCTCCCCCACTCCCATCGCACACAGCCTCTCTCTCTGCACGTGCTCAGTGTAATCCAGTAGAAGCTAGAATGGGCACTTAAGGCTTGTGAAAATTTTAAGTAGAGAAGCAAAATCTTTTTGAAATGACACTGTAATTTGATTTCCCCCAAAGGGCCATCGGGTGCCATGCACTCTGTCTTTGAGCATTGCAGATCCTGGTGCGATGAGCTGAGCCTTGGTTTGATCTCTATCTGTGAGCCAAAAAAAAAAAAAGATTGCCTGAATCTCTCAACTTTAAGAAAAGCTGGGAGTTTTTTCAGGGGCTGCGTCTTGAGAACCCCTTGGTCAACTGAACCCAAATTTGCGTCACTGACCAAAGCCCATGTGCCCACGAGATGCACCAAATTTCAAGGGAATTGGAGTAACTGTGTACATTTTAGGGCAGATTTTAAATTCATGGCTGGATGAGCCCTCGGGGATATGGTTTGTGCATTCTGGAGGGTCTAGGTCAGTAACGTCTGTCTCTCTCCTAGGTATGCCATCGGCATCGCCTATAAATCAGCCCCAAAGAATGAGTGGATTGGCAAGAACTCCTCATCCTGGGTCTTCTCCCGCTGCAGCAGCAACTTTGTGGTGAGACACAACAACAAGGAGATGCTGGTGGACGTTCACCCACAGATGAAGCGTCTGGGCATCCTTCTGGATTATGACAACAACGCCCTGTCCTTCTACGACCCGGCCAGTTCTCTCCACCTCCACACGTTCAGCATTGCCTTCATCCTGCCTGTGTGTCCAACGTTCACCCTCTGGAACAAATCTTTGATGATCCTGTCTGGCCTGCCGGCTCCAGACTTCATCGATTACCCAGAGCAGCAGGAGTGTAACTGCCGACCGCAGGAGTCCCCGTACGTATCAGGGATGAAAGCCTGCCACTAAGCAGCAGCCAGCCCGTCGTGCTCCACAGTGGCTCCTGGGGATGTTCATGGGGGCTTCTGAAGAGCTGGATTGGAAAGCAGGCCCTGCCGCCAGAGAAATAATGCTCAGCGAGTGAGCCTCTCCCACAGGAAGCTCATTTTTAAGGGAAAAACAAAACTTTAAAAGTGATTGAAATAAACTCTGTGGCTGAGCTCCGTGTGTATGGGAATGCGGCTTGTGAAACTCCTTTGTAGCGAGATGGCGTTCCTCCAGCTGGACTGTCACACGGCTTGTTTGGAGGCGAGCAGAGCGGGGGTGGGCAGTGCTTGTTTCAGGGCCCCCTAGGAGTGTGGGTGAGGGAGGGGATCCTGGGCGGAACAGGGTGTAGCCTGGTAGGGGAGCAGCGCCTCCTGGCCAGCTCAAGCGCCAGCCAGCTCCATTGACCATCCCCGTTCAGACAGGGGACTGCAATCGGCCGCATCTCAGGAAGGATCCGTCACATAAGCAACACGGCTTTCAATATCACCCAGAGAGGCGGCCGCAGCCAACCATCCAGAGCCATTCAAACTGTAGGCAGGTTGTGAAAGCGGAAACCACTCTGAGAGGAGCCGTCCAGCTGCTTCGCCTGCTGGGTGTGGCTGGTGTGTTGAGCTGACAGGCACACGCGTGTCCGCCCACTCGGGGGATGCTCAGACCTAAAAGCCGGCTTCCCACCAGTGCTCTCTTTTCTTCCATTATAACTGCCTCCTTTGGGAGGCCCTTTGTCATTATACGTCAGGGAGGCCCCAGGCAAGCTCAGCTCAGGGTGATACCTGATCTGTGTGAAATGGAGCAAGCTGAGGTATCTGTCCCCTCCAGTGCCCACCTGGGGCCTGTGGAGAGCACAGGCCCCACCATGCAATGCTGCTTCTTGTTGCTGGGCTAGGTCATGCTCCACGGTAGAGATGTGGCTGGCCAAAAGCTGCACTGGTTTAATGTAGGCCATCCCCTGGAAGGAGTGTGTGTTGGGAGTGGGGAAAGGGCCCAGTATCAGGTGGTGCTGCCGCCAGGCAAGGAGAGTGGAAGCTGGCCAGACAGCAGCATCTCCAGGGAAGCAGGAGAGAGCCAGTGGGCCGTATGACTACTGTACTGTACAAGGACTGTATCCATTATTTATGCCTCTGCACACAGCCCTGCTCAGAATGCACTTTCTCCTCTGTATGTTGTGTTGGTGTGAGGGTTGACTGGGGGCTACAAGTGAGTAAATCCGGAAGACCAAATACGAGCGCTGATAGCAAGTGCAGTAGCCTGGCCTGGCCAAGTCCATCTGGCTCGTTCTCTGTCCCATGCTGGCTGGTTCTTGGGGTCACCTCTGGAGTCAGTGCAGAGCCATTCCTTTCACTCTGAAGTTAACCCATGGGGAGGAGATCAGAATCCAGCCCCCAGGCCTTTGCGTTTGGGTAACTCTGCCCCCTGTCATGCAGAGACTTGCCCAAGGTTTTTGTTCCCCATGAATCCCAGCTGGTCTGACCCTCCCTGGCAGGCATCTTGCATCATCACTTACGCCGGGACCGAGCAAGGGCAAGTTCTGCCAAACCTCAGTTCTTCCCTTCCTGATGCTGGGGGAGCGTGTTGCATAGATAGGTGTGAAAGACAACAGGAGCTAGGTAGGGGAGGACAGTCCTGCATATGTCAGAGGAACTGCAGGTCATGAGGAAACAGTGCCCAAAGCACACTGAAAGCTGCCTCGTGGTGCCTTTGATCTGATTTGGGAGAGGGATAGTGTAAAGGTTCGGATTCACCCCTGTAGTGTCTGCTGCTAGTCACTGGGGAATTAGCTCTTTCCCCCACTCAGCCTGTTCCTTCCCCAGCACTGCACCACCCTCAGTACCCTGTCAGGCAGGCAGCCAGGCCCTGCTCTCTCCCAGCCTGGAGAACTACTCCTCAGGCCTCTGGCTCACAGACTTTTTATACAGGCCAGCTGGGGCCTGATGCGGTGTGGCCCAGCTGCAGCTGCTTCCCCAATCAATCATCCCCAGCCACAGCCCTCTCCAGGGCTGCTTGTAACCCCTTCTATTTTAGGAGCAGGATAGCCACCCCCCTACAGATAGGCAGTGTCTTGACTTCCATAGGTGCAAAGGGAATGCTGTCACCAGCAAATGCGACTTACGATGTTTCGGTTCCAGCTGCTTCTGCAGCTGTGGGCAGGTCTAGCCTGGGTTTGCAGCCTTCCACACCAGAGCCGGTCCTGCTGCTGACTCTCATTCCATGCTGTGGCTGGTGCCATGGCTGCTTGAATATCAGTCTACTGGCTTTTAAAGTCTGGTTCTTTCACACACAGCTGGTGCTGTTCTGCTGGGGACCCAGCGTCCAACCAGCTTTTAGAAGTGGCGCTAACAAAACCTCCGAACCCTGGAAAGTCTCTCCTCTGGAACAAGGGTTGGCTCTTTTGCCCAGCCAAGCACCAGGCTGGCAATATTGGCTAGTGCCTGACCAGGGGCCAGGTTCGATGTGTTCTTTGGAATGTCCCTTCTGTTAGTCTCTCCTTGGTTTTCTTGCATGGGGCCATGTGATCCAGGACAGGAGAAGTTGCCCCACAGCCCTTATGTAGCTTAAAACTCTGCTTAACTTTTCCTTGTTTCAAACAGGAAGAGATCTCTGGACCTTGCTGATCAGAAATCTACCTCATAGCCCAGCCTCCAGGGAGCAGGTAGATTGACTGATCTGGGGGTAGTCTTAGTGCATGGACTGCTTAGCGTTAGGATGGAGTGGGCAGAGCATGGCTCACCTGGCCGGAGGGAGGTTCCTGCCTAGTTTCAGGGGTGGAGGGCAGAGAGAGAGGCTGGTTTGGCTGAGATGGAGTGTAGTGTGACGTTTGCACTGGACCGTTGGCTGCTGTAGAGTCCTGTTGCTAGGCTTTGAGGATGCTGGTTTGGAGCCAGGCAGCCTGTGGACCAAACCCTGCCCCTCTGCAAACCTCCCAGTATTGTCCCTTGTGACTCGTCTGGGTTCACTTAATGCCTCCTTCCCGCCTGCCGGCCCTCAGCTATCCGAGGTGCCCTGGTTCTCTCTGGCAGCTTTCTTGCCTGGTATAGGCCCCTCTGAAGCTCATTAAGCAGCCTCCCCAGCTCATGGCAGTCTGCCGAATGCCATTGTTCTTTGGGGTGAGTCAGGGCAGGGTGTGCATGTGTCCCCTGAAGCTATGTCAGATGAGATCTGTGGCTGGCCGATCAGCTGGAATGGTAACCTTTTATGATGTGCTGCAGAGCCTTGAATGCGCTGTGCTGAGGGATACTTTTCATTGACACTGAATTGCCATCGGGATCAGCAGAAGATTGATACTTTCTTGCAGGCACAGGGTGTATAAAAGTGAACCTGTCTTTTCTTCCCTTTCAGTATTCAACATTTATGGTGACTGCCTGCCTAATGAAAGGGTGTCTGGGGTGGGGGGTAATAAGGAAAAATTATATGCCACCTTGAGCTAGGTTGGGAATCAGAAAGGTGTTTTCGTTCCCTGTCTCTGGTCTAGGCAGCTTTCCCTGCCACAGAAGGCCCAGTGCTGTTTGCCCATAAATTGCAGTGTGTGATGCACCAGTTCAGAGCCAAGGGAAGGTTTCTATTTGCTCCTGCTGGCCCAAGCTGCCGATGGCAGGGTGTGAGGATTCACATCCCCATTCCTGCCTTGCTCGGCAGCTAAGCCCAGAATCATTTTAAGCAGACAAATTGCCTTTTTCAGGTTGATGTTTTTCAAAGGCACGTAATGCTGCCCCCTGTGTGCTGACCCAGAGTGTTCCCAATGGGGGGTTGGGGGGGCTGCTTGTGACAGAAGCTGCCTCAAACAGATGCCTGCACACTGTAGATGGATTTTAACATTTGCAAAACAGGGGCCAAGCTTTCCAGCTGGCCCTGTCACTGTTTAGATGGGATCGTTGTTGGAGACTGTGCCGCATCCTTTAACTTGGAGCACACGAGCCATTCATGTGACGTTACACCTGATGAAATTGCACTAATTACATTAGGGTTCCGAAGAATTATACCAGTGACGGGCAGGAGGGCACTGCAGAGAGCTTGTCTGGGCAAGTGGAAAAGGGGAGGCCAGCACAATTAGCTGACAGGCCTAGGGTTCGTCGCCTGCGTTCCTCTCTGCTGGTTGTCAAAAGCAAAACCCAACCATGTCTGTCAGTGTGGGCAGGCGCTGTCCTGTGCTAAGTCCAGGAGCAAAGCCTGGCTCCTGCACTGCGGAACTCAGGCAAATCAGGCTCCTGCACTAGAGAGCTGTCCCCTGCAGATGGAAATGGATCCTCAAAGCTCCCTTGTTGCATCATGGCCTTTGCCTCCCACCCATTAGCAAGCACTCCCATTGGTGAAAACGCCTGGTGTCATATGACGCTGCGACAGTTCCAGCCAATCTAAGCCCATCCAGCCTCTGCTGTCCATGGTTGGAATTAACATAGAAATGCTTTCTGCCTGTCGGAAGCAGGTGGCAGGATCGGAGGGTACCGGTTCAAGTCACTGCGGGAAGTTCATTTGTCATCTGTATTTCTGCCTCTTGCAGAGCTCTGCGGCTGCTGGATGTTTTTATCATAGTAAATCCATTGTATCTGACTTGGGATGTGGTGAAAATCTGGTTACAGTGAAACCTGTCATACTTTCTCTTCATATGTAACATAACTGGGGTTTGGGTTTTGTTTTGGTTTTTTTTTGGCAATTTCTTTGTTAATGTGTATATATATAAATATAATATAATATATATATATATACTACTGGCCGCGTCTCTGTATGAAGGAACTGCTACCACATCTGACTTAGCACTCATTCTGGTAATCTCATCTTTGAACATTATAACAACCTTAGAGGGACCCCTCACTTTAGCTGAAGACACAGAAGTCAGTCATGTTAAAACCAAAGGCCGCAGCTCCCGGAGCAGGACTCCACTGCTCATCAGTTTCACGTGCTATCTTTTCAAATCACCTTTGTTCTGTCAGCTGGGCCCTCTTTTCTCGACTCAAAATCAGCTAGAACTCCAGAGCCACATTGCTGGCTGTTTCATGTCGGAGGGAGGGGGGAGAATGCTGTTATGCGAACTAGCAATCACGATTCCTTAACGAATCCAAAGCTCCAGTAGCCACGTTGCAAAGTGAGGTGGCCCTGTTTAGACACTTCAGTGAGTGAGACGAAATCACAGCAGTAAATTAGATAATCACAGTGGAGACAGTCACAAGAGTTTTTTGTGGGGCAAACGTAAAGCTGAGACTCCAGGGCAGGACACAGATATTGTATAACCAGGGGAGACGAGCCTTCACAACAATCTAGGTGCCTTTCCCAGGATCCCTTCCTAGGGGCAAGAGAGACCTCAACTGAGCTGCCCTATTAGAAAACCCCCACAGCCTGGCCATGTAGGGCTGACTGGGCAGGATGGGAGTGGGGGGGGGAGGGGGAGCTGCTCTTGCAGGAGAGCTCCATACTGTTTGTTAGACCTACCCAAGCACCTGCTCTTGTGGGTGAATCAAACTGTGGCAAGCTGCTGGAGTTTCTAGAACTGTGAGCCCCTGTGTTACCCCTCTCAGCCTCAGAAAGTGAGAGCATTGCTGCTGCTAAGCTACCTGTCAGCTCCCTGGCATGCCAGCTTATCTGCCATGTTAGCAAACTCTTCAGGACTCTGCCCGGCCAAACCTGGCCTAGCCAGTAACAATCAGTGAACCCCAGATACTGAGTTCCTCAGAGACGTCAATGTGCAGTGCTCAGCCTCTGTCTGTAGCGCTCACCAAATCTTATCAGATTTGCTGCTTCTTTAAAGAGACCGTACATAGCCACTTACTAACTTAACAGGAGCTGACAAACCCTCCACTTCAAACAGAGCACTGAGTGGGTTTATGGTTAAAGGAAAACAAGTTTATTAACAAAAGGGTGGAGGGTTAAGTGATACCAAGTTGAAAGACTAAAGATAAAAATGGTTACAAGCAAACAAAAGTAAAACACACTTCTGTGACTAACACTCACCTCTAGTTCTCATTCAAGATGGGTTCCCTACTTACAGCAACTTCTCCAGCGAGACTGACTGGGATCCACCCTGACACAATCAAAGTTCTGGTTACTTTAGTACTTCAGGAGACAGATAACCGAGGAGTTTGCTTCCCCTCTCTGTATAGCCCAGTAACCCGTGGACATGGGTAAAGTGCCTTTCTCTTGCTGCATATGGATGCCATTCTGTCTGGTGTAGACTCCAGGCTGGTTTCTCCCTTGCTGGTGATTTTTACAGTGCAAATGTTCTCTTCCTGCAGCCCAACACAAATGGCTAGCGCACTGAATTTGGGCACACTTGGGTTGGCCTTTTTCCTTTGTCTAAAGAAAACCTGTTTCTCAAAGCCCCCTGACATTTTAGTCACATATTTCCAGCATATCTGTGAAGTTCCATGTGGGTTAACCATATTTGCATCACAGTGAGTTAGTAGTTTTCCAGTGGTATATTACATGCCACCTTTTGGGTAAGTCTGTATCATCTGGCATTGACCTGTGCGCAGGGACACAAACACCTACCTACCCATATATAGTGGTAGGTAACAAACACTTCCATCCTAAAGCAGAGGGTCTCATACTGTGGCAGGTGCCGTGCTGGGGGGACTGTAGGGAGATGGCTGGTCATACGGGGCTGGCTCTTTCTCCCAGCTGCTCAGTCACATTCAAAGAAGGTTCAATATGTGCACATATAAAATATCCCCATGTGCCTTGTCCCTGCCAGTGATCACTGCCATGGGGCTGGTGTAGGCTTGTGAAAGTGAAGGGGGGCTCTAGGAAACAACCTCGCCATGAGCTGTTTCATGAAAAGGGCTGAGAAAGGCTACCAATGAGCTGTGCAGACAGCCCAAATTATGGCCCTGTGCCTCTACTGTGGCCAACGGGCTTGCATGGGTGGAACAGAGCAGAATGGGGCCACTGAGTGCACAAAGAGCACGCACTGCTTCATAAGCAGGTCTGCACAGCTGGGCAGCAAAGGGGCGTTCTGCACCCACTGTGTGGCACCAAAGGGGTGGCAGATAGGCAGAGTTTTAGTTATCCAAATTGGAGCACAGCCAGGTAACAAGGGTCTGCAGCCCCCTCCTCTAGTGGTAAGTGCCAGGGATTCAGGTTCTCCATTGTACATGCCCTCTGACAACCAGCAAAACGGTGCCTGTAATGCCCATGCTTGGGGCCTAGCTCAGTACTGACCCTGCTCCCTGCACCCCACCACGCTTAGCCCATGTGCTGAGAGCTCCCTGCCCCAAGTGGCACGGTACCTGAGCTCAGCAAGCGGATCAGGGCAATGCATCCAGATGGCCCAGAAATGGAGGACTCAGAGGGTGTCATGCTCCCTGGGGTGCTCTGTGTCCATTTGAGAGGGGGCAGTATTTGGTCTGCCTGTGCCCAGCTGCTGCTGATCAGTGTGGAGGAGAGGCAGAGTTGTGGATTCATCCCCACACCTCTTCTCAGGGGGGAAGGGAGTGGCCTAAACTTGCGGGCACTCCCCAGCCATGCCGGCACTACTGTAGGACAGGGTCCTAGACCTCTCCTTTGGGCACATTCCAGGCCTTGCACAAGCTGTCTTGCAAAGTCTTAGCTTTGCACTCTGAGCTGCGGACAGCTTTCCTTGGACACTTGCCAAGGCATATGACATTTAAGGTGCCATGAGAAGCAAGTGCGGGAGTATGCGTGAGCCTTCAGTGTCTGGGGCTGGATGTCAGGTGTGGCACCTGAGCCCTCAGCCACCGGGCCGGTGCTGTGGAAGATCAGAGGACAGGTGCAATCTGGGACATCATGCTCCATGGGACCAGGCTGGCCACTGAAGCCCAGCCTCGTCCCTTGAGCATGCAGAACTGAGGGGCTTGGCAGCACAGGGTTGGCACAGAGTTGTGTTCAGCCTTTACAAAGTAAATGCCCCAAACGGTCAGGCCTGGCTCCAGGGGGGAGAGGGAGGTGTCCTGGCAACTTGTGGTTGTGAATTGCCTGACAAAGCCTAAAGCCCTCAGATTTCAGCCCTGGGCACTGGTCTGGCAGCGAGCAGCTGCTGGCCCATGCAGCAGTGACAATACATCACGGCACCTCCTCTGTAGGCCGATCTCGCCCAGCTTCCTCATCCGCTCTCTGCTCTCACCATGCACGTGAATTGCTCTACAGACTTGACACCTAAAAGGCTTCCAGCCACACCACAGCCCCAGGCTGCAGGGCTCAGAGCAAGGACAGGAGGACAGGATGTCGGTTCCAACAGGCATTGCCAGCACCCAACCCCGTGATACGGTGGACGTGTTCATGTGCCAGGTCTCAGCTTCCCCAGACTGACAGTCAGTGTTTGGGGGATCGGAACCATGTGGGGACTGTTTGAGCATGTGCATCACAGTTCCCCAGTCGGATCCAGCTTGTGTAGGGCCTCTGCTGTCACTGCAAGGTGCACTGCACAGGGCTTGTTCTGTGCTAGGGTGTGCCTTTTCTTGTTGCATTGGGGATGTGAAAACCCCAAGCAGTTGTTCTCAGCATAACTATGGCTGCACTGCAAAAAGAACCCAAAACCTGCAGCAGCACGTCCCAGCACCCGACTCCTCTGACTTGGGTCACTTTAGCAGCTGCAGATGACATGCAGGGCATGGCTCATACAAACATGCAGTCCAGAGGGACTTAACTGCACATGCCAACGTAGGTTGCTAGGCACATCCATTTCACCCTCCTCCTTTGAGGCCCTGGCCCACTGCATGGATAAGCCCAGCCCTGCTGACGGCTTAGGGTTTCCTTTCTATATAAGAACCATCTGGGGCCCAACCCCATTCCCATGACGGAGATCAAGAAAAAAGGGCCCAGCGACTTCAGTAGGAGCCAGAGCAGTTGGAATTTTTTGATGAATCGAGTGAGGCTCAGAGCAGACACTTCACCAGGGGTCCTATACATCCCAGCTAAGAGGCCTGACCACAGAGCTGTTCTGGGGAGGGTCTCACATGCTCTCTTCTTTGTCATTAAAACTGCCCAAAGGCTCGGTTTTGTCCCGTTGGAGACTGGGAAAATGTTTGAAATCTCCAAGATTTTCATAGGATGGAAAAGCAGCTCTGGCCGAGCTCTCTCATCAAACCGGGCCGCCTGCGGGAGAGAAAAACTGGCCCCAGCTGCTGCTCAGTGAAATTATAGCCGCAGAGGCACTAATCCCAGCCCTGAGTCAGAGAACTCCGAAAGAAGAGTTGGGCGTATGTCGGTAAATGGCAGTGTGTAAAACACATGACACTCCTGTCCTGGGCTGTTGTTACCATGGTTGCTGTGGGGGGTGCGGTGGGGGCAAGTGTAATTAAACGGGGCACATGGCTAAAACCGAAATACTGAAGCAATATACAAAACAACCTGGGAGTGCAGAATCTATCTGCCTGCCTTTAATGAGTTCGATCACTGCAGCCGTCACGCCAGGAGAACATAAGACAGGGCCAGGAGTTTAGCGACAGAAGAGATGTGACAGTTCCCATCCCCCAGGGGACAATACAAGATGGCTGCATTTACCAGCATTTAATTCAGCCCTGTTTTACATGTGCCAAACATGGTGACTTCTGGCACCTCCCTTAGGATCGGGCACGCCAGCTAGTCCATCTCACCACCAGCAAGTCTGGCCTGATTACACCTTAAATGTGCCACTTTCCCTTTGTAAACGTCACCCCAGCTTTCCTAGTTATGCCCCTTTGTACTGCCTGAGCTAATTCCTCTCCTTCCCCTGGGGCTTGCACGACTCAGATAGCTGGGGCAGCTCATCACGTCAGTCCGCCTAAGTCACTGCATGACCAAGCAATATACAGTCAGTTCTTTAAACCTCTCCTTGTGAAGCAAGCCCGCCGGGCCCCGGGCACAGCTGCTGCTCTTCCCCAAACCTCAGAGAGTGTTTTGTTGACAGTGGTGTTCGGAGCCCAGTGCAGTGGCCCAAGTGGAGCTTTACAGACCTAACTGGCGAGGGCTGACTACCTCCCTGCTCCACGATGGGAGGGTACCTTTGTATCGGCTACGCAGCATTCCATGAGCTGATTGTGCTGCCAGGTGGCCTTAGAGACACCTGCCTACTTTACTCTCCTTCGGCATCTCTGCTTTTGCAAGTTCTCCCTGCCACGGAGTCTCTTTTAGTCTTTGACCCAGCTGCATTCTTCTAAATTGATGCTAATGTTCTGCTCCCGTAGCTAATCTCTCAGAGCCCTTTGGCTGTGTTTCTAAATCTAGATTTAAAATTTGCCCATGATGGAGAATCCACCACGACACTTGGTAAATTGTCCCAGTGGTTAATTACCCTCAGTGTTAAAAATGTACACCTCATTTCCCATCTGAATTTGTCTAGCTTCAGCTTCCAGCCATTGGATCATATTAGACCTTCCTCTGCTAGACTGAAGGGCCCATTATTAAATATTTGATCCCCATGTAGGTACTTATAGCCTGGGATCAAATCACCCCTTACACCCTCGGTCTGGAGCATGAGGAGAGCAACTGTGCAGCTGGGGCCCACCAGACACCATTTGCTGGAAAGCTCTGAGCTCTGGCAGATGGTGCGCATGCATGCCCGTGTGTGGAATACAGCTAGCGACCCCACAGCTCAAAGAACTTCCACTTACAGGAGAGTAACCCCCATATATTGAACCCGGCCTGCGTTGCTGCTGACACCACCTGGCAAAATGGTTACAAAAGCAAAGGAACATTGGGGGCTAGCTGGGGGCAATGCTACTTCCTACACCACTAGCTGAATTGCAGGTGTATTTAGCCATCTAATTGCACATCACAGACAATGTACTTATACCTTCACTATGTGATTTCTTGAAAGCCAACTCTGTCCAGCTGTAAGGCTTCCTGCTGTGTTACCCGCGGAGCAGCAGAATAAAGCCTGAATGATGGTGTGCTTGGAACTACGTCCCTTGTGCGATGGAGGACTGAGCAGCAGGAGGAATCGTTGGGGGGGGAAGTGTCCTGGCACCAGCTTTGCATTGCTGAGGCTTAATGCACCACTGGGAGGCACTCGGGTACGGGGTGATGAGTGTGGTGTAAAAGCCTGCCTAGAATCAACCAGACCGAGGCGCTGGCGTTTGGGAGGGCAGCCGCGTGTGTTTATTCAGAGGGGGGCTTTCTCTCAGGACCAGAGCAACAGGGACAAAGCTAATGTTGCTGACTTTTCACTTGTGACAATTAAGCCATTTGGGGTGAAGTGAGACACCCCCCCCCTCCCCCAACCCCACAGTGCTGCTGATCCCAGAATGGAGCTGGGGGAGCTGCACGTTGCTCCTTACTGGCCAGGGACGCTTTGCTGTCCCTGTACCTAGGCTGGGGGAGGCCCAGAAGGGCTGAAATGCTGCCCCAGTGGCTCATCTTAGTGCCATTGCCAGCGTGACGGGAAAAGAAGAGCTGCCATTGAGAGCTTCTGGCCCTGTCCTGCAGGCCCCCGGGGCTCAGAGGGCTGGAACAGGGGCCAAACTCAGCAAAGATTTGGGGGTTTCCAGCTGGTGAGCTTGGAGCCTGCCCACCTCGGAAGTGGCCACCCAGGAATGGTCATAGGAGCATGGTGAAAATGCTGCTGGCTGGGGCTGCCTGGGGCTGCCTGCAAGCACCTGCTGCAGTGACAGGCCCAGCCAATGGTGTACAGCCTGCATTGCCTTCTCGCCTGGCCAATCAGTTCCCTGGGATGGTGGGGGTAGGTCTATGGCCTTCCTCTCCCCTGCCCCTCTCAGCTAGCCAGCGGTGGTTGTACAGCAATGATGGGAAGCTCCTTGCTTCCTCTCCACGCCCCCTCCCCCAAGGCTCACTCAAATCCAGGGTGGGTATTTGATCCCTACATGGCTTTCTGAGTGCTGCCCTTCGGTTCCGGCTAGATCCGGATCCCCCGGGGGCACGCGCCTGGGGGACGCGCACAGTGGCGCAGCAAGAGGTCAGCACTGGACTGGCAGCTACAGCACAACAGATTTGCTTAGGGCGTGGGGAAGGGGGTGTCACCAAGGCTTCAAGATCCATGACTGCTGCAGGAGCAGCCGCTGCCCGAGCCTCGCCATGGGCACCAGCTAGAGTTGCCATCTTGGAGTTACACAAAATGGGGGTGCCTAGGATGAGCCTGAGCCCATAAATCTGGATACCTGGACCAGGAACAGCAGACTCTCCCTAAAAGTGTGTGTGTGGTGGGGCTATCAGCACCTGATCAGACACCACCCCCCTGTGCCACCCCTTCCCCCAAGGCCCCACCCCCCACTCACTCCTCTCCACCCCCTTCTCCCCCATCACTCACCCTTATGGCCAAGGTCCCTGATCCCTCCTGCTCTGGCACCCCTGACCTAGCATTGCAGCCTGAGCTCCTTAGTGGCTTTCCCACATCAGCTGCCTTACAAAGGGATGATCCTGGAAAAGCCTTGGCACGTGCCAACCCTTAGTCCAGCAGCCTGTGTTGCGTTTCTATAAATGACTAGGTGTGACCCAGGGTGCCTGGGGGCAGCCCTCACTGAAAAGGCCAAGATCAGGGCAGGCTACAAAAGGAGAGCAGATAACCATCCGTTCTGGGAGTATCACTGTAGTTAGACTCACCAATCAGTCACAAACTCTGCTCCTGATCCCACCCCCCACTGATTATCAAGAAGCTTAAAAAAAAAAAGTCACACAGCCCCCTTTATTGCATTCCAGGCTCTGTCTCCCAATTAGCACATAGGTCCAGTAAAGTAGGAAGTTACTTAAAAACTCTACTCACTTATACCAAATGGTCCTTCGGGCTCAGAAGGACCAACCACATTGCCCGGTCAATATTATGTGGCAAGGCATCTTCTCAGTCTCACCAACCTCAGCTGTTTTTAGCCTCAGTGAGACAGGCTTGGGGTAAAACAGTCCCTCTTGATTGCACAGGGGCAGTCCATCCTTCTCTCAGCCAGTGTTTTGGGCTTGTTTGTCTCCCTTATGGGAGGGAATGTAGGCTCCCCTCCTAGAGTAGCTTACTGCTACTCACCTACTGGTAACTTAACTCCTTCTCTCTCCCCTTCCACTCCACAGGGGAGGGGTTTAAAAGATCTCAGACAGCCCTTAGTTGGAATCAGCTGATCCTAACTGATCTCAAGTAACTCCCTCTCAGCTGATCCTAATTGATCTCTGGTAACCCCTTCTCAGCTGAACCTGATTGACCTGTAGTCACCCCTCCCCAGTTGATAAGGAGGAGGGCCTTTTAACCTTCTGGGACTGTTTTCTACCCCACCCCCCTTGCAGCTGTTTGCCCTGAGTTTATCATAATTAGTTTGGATCTTATCCATAATATCATGCTGCCAGCCAATCCTTTAGTATCTAAAACTAAAAGGTTTATTATAAAGAAAAAAGGAAGAATGAGAGTTAAGTGGTAAAGCAATTAGGTACATATATAAGACTACAAAGTCCATATATCAGGTTCTTAGCCGTGTTCGTAAGTTTCCTGTCTTGAAAGTCCCTCTGGAACACATCCAAAGCATGGATGGATCATTCAGCTGCCCTCTTTATTCCTTTTGCCATGTGGCTTGTACTTCCTGTGTCCCAAACACAAGCTTCACAGCAGATGACATGGAAAAGCCTCTGTCCACCAGCATGCTCCTAAAAGTCCTGGTGACTCGTAAAGTGTAGCCCCCTGGCTTCTTTCAGTGGGTTCTTTGTATAGCTGATGACCCTTGATGGGCCATCAAACAGGCTAGGCAGTGCTAATGCCAATTGGTCTGGGGGTGTCACCGAGAAACACAACACAAGTTTTGAAATACAGATATACCTAAAACTCACAATACAAAGGTAATACAAACATATAAACAAGATCATCATACTTGGCAAATCATAACATCTTCACAGCTACCATACACAGCACATCTGGTCAGATTCCTTGCAATTTCACAAAGTGTTCCACATATTCCATATACCATCACAGTAGGGAACAGGCCAATAATCGCTAAAAGTTTCCCTGGGAGGAGACGCCAGCCGGTAGAAGGAGGGAATAAATGCCCAGTTCTCCAGGGAGGAAGCCACAGAAGAGTCAGCTTGGGCTTGTTGAGCAAAGTACATTGAGAAATATTTATAAAGTGGACAACGTATGGTGGAAACCAACACTGTAAAATTAAATATTTCTTACCTTATTCCTTTGCTCAGGGCTTTTTCCCATTAAACATTAAAAGCCAGCACTCTGAGACAGGCATTGAGATTGTATAGCTGCCTTTGTTATTGGGACAAATCTACAGCGTGTGCAATATATCAAACCGCGGTACAAGATGGAGTTGATACACACAGCTGAAAAGGTCTTTTGCTGGGGCGCTAATGACACTTCAGTGTTTCTATGCCCTAGCATGCCTCAGTCACCTATCTGGCAGCATCTTACTAAACTGGGTCAGCATCATTAACTGCAGCCAAAGCACAGAGAGGGCATGACCCTCTTTTCCAAAAGCAGCCTGTGACTTCAAGGCGGTGGCGGTTTGAGGTTCCCTGCTTTACACACCTAAGGCCTCATTTTCAGAAGTGCTGAGATGCCACAAAACCGGCGGTGATCATTGTGTTGCTATTTACTGGGGGTGTGGGTGGGGGAGTTTTTTAGCCTGCATTGCAGTCAGACTAGATGATCACAGTGGACCCTTCTGGTCTTTGAATCTAGGCATCTATGTGCCGTCCTCCCACCTGTTGCCTGCAGTCCATCATGTACATGGGGAGCTCTCTGGGGCAGAAACTGCCTTTATGCAAGGCTCTACATGGACATGTTAGAATGTCAGGGTGCCTAGACAAATGAAGCCAATGGCACCTCTAAACCAGGTCCAGCAGGTTCTCTGCTGAGTACCTAGAGCATCAAGCATCCTGAGTTAGAGGACAGTTGAGAATTTGGACTTGGGTATGACTCAAGATCATGGACAAGTGACCAGAAAAGCTGGGAACAAAACCCCACTACTTGACTTTGCCCTTGGTTCCCAGTCCTACCCAGAGAGTGAGTATGCCTGACAGCTGGGTTCAAGGCCCGATGTAGGGTCTGTGTGAGACAGTGTTGTGGGGCGGTCACACACCTCCCTTTGTGAAGATCATAACGTCTCTGTGCTCAGATTGTGACTGACAGTCCTGAGAGGAGACTGCTCTTTATGTCTTGGTGCCATGGGGCAGGGATAGAGATGGTTAACACCCAGGTCACATGGCAGGGACTCCATGCTGCTGTGTTAGAATCACCCCCGCACAATGGGACATGAGATGCATGTATGGCATGACCAGTGAGTCCGTGGAAGGATTATGACCAGAATGTAGGGCCCCAACTCCCGGCCCTGTTTTAATCATCATGTATGCTGCCATCCTAGCTCTCATCTGACAGATCCCAGCTGTGTTGGACACTGTGCAGCCCTGAGTGTGTGTGTGAGAGAGAAAGAGAGAGCTGCTGTGTCTAAGTAGAAATGTGCAGATCACCGAGCATCACTGTGTACCTCTGCCCCCAAGTCCTGTGTTAGGGGCTAGCAGGCAGTGACAGCAGCCAGGCTGTTGGCTCTAGAGAAAGCCCCTATGCTGTGCAGAATATGCTAACATGACATCTGATTGCTTAGTACAGCCCTTCCTATAAGGAGAGCTTGTGAACAGAGAAGCTGAAAGGCTGCATGTGTTTGGAACAAAAGAGAGACGGGCCAATTCATTGAAATGAAGTGCAGGTAGCAAGAAGGGGAGCGACTTGGCATTCATAGCACCTAGGGATAGACCCACACTTCCCTCCCTGCTCTGGTACCGGACTGGGGGACCTGCTCTCCAGACAATAACGTTTAAATGCTATCTCTGCTCGGACTCTAGTCTGAGGAGCTGCTTTCTGCTACTTTGTAGGTAGTGAGACTCAAACTGCTCAGATCCAGTGGGTTTTTTCCTTGCTTATGCACTACAGCAAAACATTTCTGCATTAATGATTCAGGCC